AGGATGGTCTCGATCTCTTGACCTCGTGATCCACCCGCCTCGGCCTCCCAAAGTGCTGGGATTACAGGCTTGAGCCACCGCGCCCGGCAAGACTTACCTTTTTATCTGTGGCTAAATCCACACATAGCAGTCACAATTCCAACTGTGGTCTGCATCCACGTATGAGATTTTTCACCCCACCAGTAGGCTTTGTTTACATGTGAGAGTGACAATCCTAATTGTTGGATAGTGTGCCTATAAGTGGCACAATTTTACTTCTGTGATGGGCTCTGATATGACCCAACTACTTTATAGAATATTTATGAATGTAATAATCCTCTGTAATCTTTTGTACAATTAGGATACTCAGATCCTTACCTATTATCCTAAGTTTAGCTGTGAAAGTAAAAATCTCTTTTATGGGCTGGGAACCTACGTATATGTCACAATCCCACCTGTTGGCAGAACCAGGCAGGAAAATCACATCGCTTGAATACTGAGCCAGGAATATGTCAATGTCCTCCTTGTGGGTTGAGTGCTGGTAGAAAATTCACATCACATTGATGATGAGCTCAATTATATGTCACAATGATCCCTATGGGCAGAACCCTGGCTGAAGAATTACATCACATGAGTGCTGGGCTCAGCAATATTTTACAATCACCTTTGTGAACAGAGCCCAGGGGAGAGGGCAGTTACATGACCTGGAAATTAGCCCAGAGGTATATCACAGTGCCACCTGTAGAAAGGGACATTATTTAGTTTATTTGCTTAGGTATATGTCACAATCCAAACTGTGGACTTTATTCAGCCAGGATAGTCAAATTCATTGTGCTGTGTCTGGGCCAAGGTATATTTCACAATCACATTTGCAAGGAGGTCCAGGAATGGAACTGACAATCCTGTACAGGTTCTGGGTCCAGGTATGAAAGTACACACCGCTTGTGAGTTGTGTCCAAGTATGTGAGTTGGGATTTCAACAGTAAATTGAATCCATGCATGAGAGCCTCAAACTCACCTGCAGAGAGTGCGCCAGTAGGGAAGTCATAGCGTAACACAGGTGCTGAATCTTGGTCAGAGACTAATAATTGCACCTGAAGGCTGAATCCACATATAAGATTTAAAATACCAACGTTTGATTGTCTTAGGGTGAGAGATTTGGAACCTTGCCATGGGCTGTGGCCACGTGGGAGTATGCCAATCTTTACTTTTGGCAGTGTACAAATATGAGAGTCAAAATCACAACAGTGTGCTGGGCTTTGTTATTCTCTGTACAATCTACGGACTTTATGTGTGAGACTTGCAANGCACCTGAAGGCTGAATCCACATATAAGATTTAAAATACCAACGTTTGATTGTCTTAGGGTGAGAGATTTGGAACCTTGCCATGGGCTGTGGCCACGTGGGAGTATGCCAATCTTTACTTTTGGCAGTGTACAAATATGAGAGTCAAAATCACAACAGTGTGCTGGGCTTTGTTATTCTCTGTACAATCTACGGACTTTATGTGTGAGACTTGCAATCCACTTTGAGACCTTTGTGCTTGTATGAACCTATGATTTTACTCATTGCTCTAAGCCCAGAGATGAGATTCAACATCTTTTCTTTTGTCTGGTTAAGGCATAAAAGTCACTACCATGCCTGTGAGCTAGAACCAGCAATGAGTTGTCATTTCACCTGTGGTCAGATCCACATATGACAGTAAAAATTCATGCATTCATGAGTGAGATTCTGGACCTTAACTGTAGGCTATCTTCATGTGTTAGGTTGATGACTTTAACTATTGTCTGGGTATGCCTATGACAGATACAATATTACCTGTGCACTGGGCCCTGTAATGACACTCTCTACCATCAAAGACCATGCAAAAGCTTATGCATTATAGAATACACATAAAATTTCTAATACTTTGTGACCTTTCCAAAGTAGGTCAAAAACATATATCACCATAAGCCTAGCTGTAAGAGTAAAAAATCTCTTTTATTGGTTGTGTCCATATATGATAGTCATCATCATGTCTGTGAGCTGAACCGAAGTATATGTTTCTATACTACCTGTGGTCAGGGTTCAGGAAGGAGAGTCACATCATCTAAATTCTGAGCCAGAGGTATGTGAATTTCCTTTTTTGAAAAGAGCCCTGGCAGGAAAGTCATATCACCTGGCTGCTGAACCCATTAGCATGTCACAATGCCCTCTGTGGGCAGGGACAAGGTAAAAGAGTCATATTACTTGGGTGTATGTGACACCAGTGGTGTGTCACAAACCACCCTGTAGACAGAGTCCAGAAAAAAGAAGAGTGTCACATGACCTAGGTAATGGTCACAAAGAAGGGTCTAGGCAGGAGAGTTACATTACCTAGATGCTCGGTCCAACTATATTAACAATTTCAACTATAGGCATTTTAGGCAGGATATTCACATCACATGGGTGCTTGGCTCACTGATTTGTCTCAATCCTTCTGTAGACAGGGTCCAGGAAAAAAGGACAGTCACATCTACTAGATGCTGGGCCCAGTAATATGTCACAATCCCCCAGGTAAGCAGGTCCAAGGCAAGAGAGATGGATCATATTATCTATGTGATGGGCCAATAAATATGTCAAAATCCCCCTTGTGGGCTAAACCCAGGCAGGAGAAGAATGTCATGTCACCTAGGTGATTTCTGTGTAAATATTTCAAAATTCCCTCTGAGAGAATGGCCTTGGCAGAAAAGTCACATCACCTATGTGCTTGGCCTAGGTAAGTGTCACAATCCAAATACCATACTAGACCTAGGAAGAAGAGTAAAATTAATCAGATACTGGGCAAAGGTAGATGTCAAAATTACACCCACAGAAAGATCCAGAGATGAGATTCACAAAAGTGCAAATGGGCTGGCTCCAAATATGA